CTCATGAACTGATAGGACACTCTAGAGATTAAAAACAATTTTTTTCTAGGGTGAAGGAGCCCCTGCATGTAAGCTAGGCCACTGCTGTAGTTCACAAATTTGTAAGCGACCATCCCTCTATCCATGCATTTGTGCGTGCATCGATGCATTCCGTCAATCTATTCACCCATCCTTCCATCTATCCATCCACACATCCGTCCACTCACCCATCCACACACCCATCATCCATCCATCCATCCACCATCCATCCATCCCTCCACACATCCACCCACCCATCATCCATCCATCCATCCATCCACCATCCATCCCTCCACACATCTACACATCCACACATCCACCCATCTACCATCCATCCATCATCCACTCATCCTTCCATCCATTCATCATCCATCCACCATCCATCCATCCACACACCTGCACATCCACACGTCCACCCATCCATCCATCTACCATCCACTCATCCTTCCATCCATTAATCGGCCATCCACCATCCATCCACCATCCATCCATCCACACATCTACACATCCACTCATCCACCCATCTACCATCCATCCATCCATCCATCATCCACTCATCCTTCCATCCATTCATTGTCCATCCACCATCCATCCACCATCCATCCACCCACACATCTACATATCCACCCATCTGTCCATCTACCATCCATCATCCAACCACCATCCATCCACACCTCCATCCATCCACCATACATCATCCAGCTACACATCCACCCATCCATCCATCTATCCATTTATCCACACATCCATTCACTCACTCATTTGCCCATTCATCATCCATTCACCCAACCATCCAACCCACTCGCCTCTTCATCCATTCGATAAACATATTTTATTGAGCACCTACTGAGTGCTGAGTCCTGGAGGAACAAGTTGGAACATAAAAGAGATCCTTGTTTTCAAGGATTTCATTCTTTGGTATGAGTCTAGCAATCATGATACAATAGGAAGGCAGCCATGATGGGGGAAGTCAGTGACCTCTGGGGACACAGAGGAAGGTAGGGGCTGGAGGAAGGAAGTGATGTTCAAGCTGCGCTCTGAAAGAGGGTAGGAGTGAAAGGGAGTGGGATGGGGCAGGGGGAGAGAGTGTTCTAGTCCAGGGAACAGGCTGTACAAGGGCTTGGAAGTCAGTGAGAGCATGCGTTTTCAAGGAATCGAGAGGTCCGCATGGCTGGGACAAATTGGTGTGGTGGGTGGTGGGGCTGGAGGAGAGAGTTGAAAGGAGAAGTAAACAGGAATCTGGCCTTCATCCTGAGGGGCAGCGGGGGGCAGTGAAGGATTTTGAGTGGGTCGAGCCTTGCTCAGACTTGTGTTGTGGAAAGATCGCTGGGCTATAGCCAGGAGAGGGGACAGAAGGGGGTGAGCCTGGAAGCCGGGACGTGGGTGCAGAGCCGTGGTCCCCAGAGACATGAAGGGAGAGGGAGGTGGATTCAAGGCACAGCCAGGTGGCCGACTCAGCAGGTCTTGCTGACGGACTGAATGTGGCTGGTGAGGGAGAATCCGGGGGCAGGGAAGACCCTTGGGTTTCTGAGCTGAGGAACCAAATGGACTGACATGTCGGGAATGCCAGGCTCATCAATGAGCTCACCACGCCCTTGGGACGGGGGAGTGGCCATATTTAGGGATCAGGTTGGGAATACCATTTGGGACCCTCCCATCTCAGCCAGGCTGGCCACGATCCCTAGTTCTCGCCCCCCTGGGCAGGGCAGGTCGGATCCAGCTTCAGCTGTCACGGGACGGAGATGACAGGATAAAGTGCTCAGTCCTTACTGAGATGCTCTGGGAGACCCTGGGCAAGTCGCTGCCCATCCTGGAGCCTCGGCTGATGCTGCGTGGCCTGGGATGACACCTCTGCCCAGCCTTCCCCTCCTGGTAATGACTGTCAAGTGCAATTGAAGATGATGAAGAGCTCCCACCCCAGCAACCAGGCCCCTGCTCTGTGACCGACGGCATCCCTGGTTCCATCCCATCCCTGGGGACAGGCTTCCCAGAAGCCTGGGTAGAGCCTGCCGTTTGCCTGGGGTTGCAGGTGGCGGGGGGCTCCCTCTCTTTCAGGAAGAAGGACCCAGAATCTGGCTGGTCCGGCCACTTCTGGCCAAAGCAGGTGAGGGTGTTGATCCCCTCCAGCTGGTTTTACCCCGAGGGGCCCCTGCATGGCAGCAGCCTTGGGGGCTGTGGGGGCAGGGGCGGGTGCACAAGCCGAGAGTCTGGCCGGCAGCGGGCATTAGTCAGAGGGGGTGACACAGGCAGTCGCTTCCTCCCACTCAGATCCAATTCCCCTTTTGTGCTTTTCTGGGGTCTAGCCTGCTTTCCTGCCATGGCTTTTCCCTTCCTCCAGCTAGAGCACCCTCTCCCCTGCTGCCACCTCCTCCAGGGAGCACTCCTGATTGCCCTGAGGGACCTCCAGGTCCTAGAGTCCTTGCAGCACCATAAAGGTCCTCCCGAGGACCTTCTCACAGGCCCGGACTCCAAGACATTTTGTCTGGAAGGTCCCTTGGAATCCATTTCATAGCCTGGGAGAACCGAGGAGGAATAAATTCGGTTAATCCCTGGCAAGGAAACCACCTCAAAAATGTCCCTGTTCCCCACTGCCTCCCAGATAAGGCTGAGAGGCACGGCGGGCCCTGCATGGCAGTCCCACCTGCCCTTCCTTCCGTCCGGTGTTTACGGGGTCAAGCGTCACTGAAGGTCCACTGTGTGCCAACACCACACTTGGCACTGCGCAGAGCAGACACAGCCTGTCCTCAAGCAGGTCCCTCTCTCCGCCTTGCAGCCAGGCCATTTATTTATCTCTGCACATTCCTCCCTCCTCCCCCATGCCCAAGCAGTGCCCTCATATGAGATGCCCTCCCTCCTCCCTGGGTATGAATCCCATGTACAAGGCCTGGCCCTGGATGCCTCCTCCAGGCAGCCTTCCAAGGTCTTCCCTGGGAGGGGCCAGACCTTGTTCCCCAACCCCCACCCCACTGCGAACCCCTCAAGGGCAGGGGCTGCATCTGGCCTCTGCCTGCCCCACGGCACCTGGCGCAGCCCCGAGAGACACAGACAGGTCACTCAGATTTGCTTCTCTGCTCGCCTTCCCAGCCAGGCAGCCCTCCCAGCCCAGAACCCGCTGCTGCTGCTGTGACCTGTTCTCTAGAACCAACAGGGGAATTTCGGTCCTTCTGGAGAAAAGTCGTGAGTCTGCGGCAGGACGAAGAGGACTCAAAACCCACTGAAGGAGTTTCCCCAGGAGTGGGGGCGGGGCTGCTTCACCATCAACAAAGTTGCTAAACACATCACAGAAAAGCATTCGGTGGCCTCTGTGGCAGGTGGCAAAGTCACAAAAGGGTGAGCAGAAGCCACTGGGCAGAGGTCACGGAGAGCATCGAGGGTGATGGGCAGAGACAAGCTCCCCCCGGCCCCCTGCTAGGGCCCAGGTCCTCCCAGGCACCTTTGGGCCAGGCCCTCTTTCTAGGGTGGAGCTTCCCTCCGCCGTGCACCCGTCCCCCGCCTAGGCTGGCCTCCTCTAAGGGGGACCCTGTTGGGTGCACCTCCCCTTCTTTGGGAAGCTGGCACCAAGCATGTGCACAGGCAGCATGGCCCCGCCCACTCCTGCTCCTGCAAATGGAAGCAGCCTGGGGACAGCAGGAACAGCTGGGGGCAAAGAACCCCTCTGGGCTGTGGCTTGAGGTGGGGACAAGGTTAGCATCTCTGGCAGCTGATGCAACCCCAAGAGAAGCAGAGAAATGCTGGTGCGAGGTCCACCAAGGGTGACCCCATCTTCCTGAGATCTGCTGTCTTGGCGGGGCTCCCTGGGACAGCCCGAGTTCCCTCTACAGGAGACGAAGTTGAGGCCAAAGAGGGTCTGTGAGCTCCGAATGCACCTGCACCGTGTCGCGGATGGAGGCGGGAGCGCTGTCATTCTGAGCTGCCTGCTCCGGTCACACAGGGACAGGGTGAAGCCAGGCCTAGATCCCGCATGTCAGAATCAAAGCCCAGGTTCTGCCCTGCTTTGGTGCTGCCCACCTGGAGACAAGCATGGGACGCCCCAGCCCCAGTCCCTAAGGGGACAAGTGGCAATTTTCCCTGGTGGCCAGGGCACTGACAGGCATGCAGTGGCGCCGTGGCCCGTGGCTGGGCAGGAAGCTTCACACGGGGCTCATCGAAATCCGCTCAGGGCTGGTCTCAGGCAGGACCCTGGCTAGGTGTTCTCCGCAGGCTTGGGGACACAGCTCTGCTGGCCGTGAGCAGCATCGTCCCTTACCCGTCCTTTCTGTCCTGCGTCCCAGGATAAGGCGTCCCATTTGGGGGAATGTGGATTCCCAATCTATTCATATTAGGATTAAATAATAATTAAAGTCCCACTGGGCTCTGGCCTTCTGGGGTCAGGGCCCAGGCTGAGGAAGGACGTGAAACCAAAGTCGCCGGGGGCCCGGCCTTTCTGAGTCAGGCGAAGCATGGACCCCCGTGCAGGGCGACCCCCGTGTGCGTGTGCACAGCACAGGTTGGCTCCTCCCAGCACAGCCTTCCCAGCGCCCGGGAGCTCACCCACCATGCAGCGAGGAGCCCAGCAGGCCCCTGCCTGGCTGTCCACCCCTGGTCTGTCCCCCGCAGGGCGCCAGGCATGAAGGAAGCTCACCAGCCTCAGAGCAGGGGGTGAACCCAGTTGAGGATGAAGGCTTTTCAATTCTACCAAGAGAGGAACCAAGAAATGTCCCCTTAGAAAGGAGAAGTACATCATTGCCGTGGACCCCGGACACATGTACCCCCACCTCTCTTCCAGCTGAGCATCCATTCTTTGGAAATCCACAAACATTCCAAGACTGGACTTCTACTGAATCATTCTCAAATTCTTCGAATTGCCTGGGCTACGGAAGGATGTGAGGGAGGTGACAGGGGGCGGGCCAACACCCCCAAAGAGGATAAAAAGGTCACCGCCACGCTGGGCTCTCAGCCTGGTGTCTCCTGAGCAGAGACAGCCTCTGGAGGCTTCCAGCACCATGGCTCTCCTGAAGACGCTGCTCCTGGCCGCCCTCCTCCTGGGGGCTTCCCTGCGGCACAGCCGCGCAGGTGAGCGCAGGGGCCAGGCGGCCAGGGCGCCGGGAGGGCAGGAGGCGGGGGCACGGGAACCACAGCGGTGACAGTGACACACACATATTTGTGTGTTGTTTACACCCCGCCGACTCCCACGAAGGATGCGAGGGGTGGGCAGCGAGAGGATTCTGAGGGAAGCAATGAAAAAAGAAGGACGATGAGGATGACGTTGCCGTCCCAGCCCTCGGGGATGAGCTTCCTGAGGACGACCCACGTGCAGCGCGTCTCGGACCGCGGCGGCTGCGGCCATGGCCGTGGTCGTGGTTTTATGGGAGAAAATGGACAGTTCTCAGAGCCATTTGTTAGCTTCTGTTTTATTAACGGGTTTTATGTATGACGAGGGACGCAGCATGAAGACGGGAGGACTGGTTCCAAGAGCACGTGGAAAAAGAAGTTTGTACACTCGGTTGGGAGAGGAAAGCTGCGATAGGGTCGCTAGACGCAGACACGCGCGAGTGCACCCGGGACTGGCCCGCGGACACGGGCACACACGCACACAGGACCCCAGCGTATGCAGAGACTTCACACACACACACACACACACACACACACATACACACACACACACACATGCACATTAACATGGAGACACACACACGATGAAACACGCAGGCCCCACAGACCCACCCCCAGCGCACACACGGATGGGCGCAGTGACACACGCACCAGACACGCAGGGACGCCTCCCCCGCCTTCTCTCTGCAGCCCGAGCGACCAACGTGGGCCGGGAATGCTGCCTGGAGTACTTCAAGGGAGCTATCCCTGTCAGGAAGCTGGCGGATTGGTACAGGACCTCAGTGGAGTGTCCCAGGGAGGCCATCGTGTAAGTGCCACGCCTTTGGGGGTGGAGCACGGGACCAGGCAGACCCCGGAGCTCCCAGGACGGTCACAGGGGAGAGGGGAGGAGAGAGCCTGGCCCTCCCCGTGACCACCGGCCGGCTCCTCAGGGGCAGGCTCTGCAGCCGACACTGTGGACCCCAAAGGGCCGCGGGCCATGAGGTCCAACGTCTTCATTGGCTTGTGGCACCCCAGGTCCCACGGCCAGTCATCGGGGAGGTGGTCACTTCCTCCGGCCTGGGCCAGAGAGCTCCGAGGGCCAGGCCCTTCCCGCAGCCTCTGCGCCCCTCGCTCTAGGTGGTCTGGGGCACAGGCGGTCCGAGGGGTGGGCTCAAAGTCCTGCAGCCCTGGCTCCCTGGGAGGGTCAAGATCACTGAGGTCAGAGGCTGATGTCCCCAATCTGCCGCCGATGCCCTGTGTGACTTCAGGCCAGTTCCCGCGCCTCTCAGGGGCCTGGTTAGCGCAGGGCGGGGCCGGTGCTCTGGAAGCCCTCCCTGTCCCCACGCTCCCCAACGGGTTTCTGCCTCGGTGCAGGCTGGTGACCGTCCAGGGCAGGTCCATCTGTTCTGACCCCGGCGACGCGAGGGTGAGGAAGGCAGTTAGACACCTGCAAAAGCTCATGAAGTCACACAGCTCCATCCTCCAGGAGTCCTGATTTTCTCCCGGGACCATGTAGAGACTTCCGGCGTTGGTTCCAGGACAGAGAGAAGCCACGGTCCCCTTTCTGAACTGGAGCCACGGCCCTGAGACGGCCCGAATTAAAGTCTTTCTCCCTCAGTCTGGTCAGCGTGTTCTGTCCTCCCAGTGCGGGATGCCCTTCCACTCTGGCCTGTCACACGAGACGGGTCCCCAGAGGACGTCTGGTCTTGCCCTGTCTAGCTCAGAAAGGGACAGTGGGGCTGAGAGGGGGACATGGCTGCCACAGACCACGCCCTAGTGAGGGGAGCCCCTTGAGGGGAGGCCCAGGCAGGGGTGGGGCTGGTGGGGTCCTGGGACAAGCAGGGCAGGCCAGAGGCTCAGCAGGGCCACCCCTTGGGCTGGCTGTCCCATCCTCCCTTCCACACGGCACTGGCTGGAGTCCCGGGGAGGGCCGGCCATATCCCCCACCCCCCGCAACCTTCGCTGTTCCTGAGGTCTCCCAGACTCCCCCAGGACTGGCCTCTACTCTTGCGTGACGCGGAGCTGAACGCTTGCTTCCCCTTGCATGTTGGATTCGATTCCACAAACGTTTCCAGGACCCCAGCGCAGGCCGGAGCTCCCCGGAGGGGTCCTGCAGCCCTCCGGTCATCTGGTCATCTCCCTGGCACTCACCACGGTCCCCTGCTTCCTCTCCCATCTCGAATGGGGAAGTCTCCAGGGGCTGAGCCTCCCTCCTGCTCTGCTGGGTCTCCCCCATCCCCCCACCCCCACCTCTCCAGCCCCAGGCAGGTGGGCCCCCTCTTCCTTCTGACCTGAAGCTGTGACATCCCACCCAGCCTCAGCCCAAGCCCAGCATGCAGGAAGCCGGCCCTGAGCACAGCCAGCGCCCCCACCCCAGTCCACCGGCTTTCGACTGTCTCCACCCCTCGGGTCTCCCCCAGCTCTCAGGGACTGGGGTGCAGCCCGCCCCAGGCGCCAGGCGGTTCTCCCACGGATTCCTGTGTCTGTCTGTCAGTCCCAACGCCTCCCTTAGACTGAGAGCTCCAGCCCATGTGCCCAGAAGGACAGGACCGGAGGCTCTGGACCACCCCCGACCCCAGCCCCGACCCCTGTGCAGCGGGGCAGAGTCAGGGTCTTCACACGCTAGTTCTGTCTCACTCTCCCGGCCAGCACTGGGCTCGTGGCTTCTCTGGGCGCAGTCTGGGGCCCTTTTACTCTGAGGTCTCTGCCCGGCATTGTTTGGGGGCTGCAGTTAGGGGGGTAACTTTCGGGAGAGCCGTTTGCTTCCTTTCGCCCCTGTGTGGCCAGCCATCACGGCAGGGCAGATGGCAGGACCCAAGTCCCCTCTCCAGCAGGGGCGGTGAAACAAGAACAGTGAGGATGAGGAGGCTGGCAGTGGCCATGAACTGGCTGCGGTGTGACTCCAGGGTCTCCTCGCCGCAGTGGACTCGCCTGTCCTGCTGCTGAGGAGTGTCCCTTGAACAACTGCTTCGACCCAGAGTCCTGGGGTAGCCCAGCCTGAGTTCTTTAGGGAAAAATGTCCTCTGGCTCGACAGGGTGGTGGAAGGATGGTCTAAGAAGTGGGGAGGCAAGGAGGAGCCCCTAAGACAGCACAGGGCCCCCAGGGCTGGGCCCGGACCCCTGCACCCTGCCGGCCAGGGCTGGAAGGACTCTCAGAGTGTGTTTAATGCCGTGCATGGCAAACCTTTATTTTTAAAAAGCAACGCCTTTTTTTTCCCCTAGTGCAACCTTACCCAGAAACCCATATTGTAAACTCAGATGAGTAGAGCTGCCGTGGAGGCCTATGGGAGGTGGGGAGTTGCCAGGGGGCCCCTAAAAAGTGAGAGAGGGCAGGGGGCTTGCTTGAAGGCATGGAACAGGGGGCTCGAGGACTGACAACAACATGCAGGATTCAGAGTCGAGTGTTCAATAGCAGCAGCAGGGTGCAAGGTGGGTGGGGTCAGATGCCAGAGCTGGAACAGGATGGCTGCCATGGCCCCCTGGGCATTTTAAGGAATGGGTGAGCAGGGAGGGAGGGAGGGAGGGAGAGACGGAGTGAACAGTGAGGGGGGTGCTGGTCTGACATTGCTCCCGCCACCTGGAAGTCCTCCTCCACTTCTGAACTCCAGTTTGCCTTCAGAGCTCAGCTCAAATGCCACCACCAGGAGGTCCTCCCTGGTCTCCTTGGTTGCATCTGATCCCTCACTCAGTGCTCCCCCCAGCTCTCAGCTCTCCTTTCAGTCTAATCTTGCCCACACTCTGCCCCTGTGACAGTAGCTGCCTGGGCGTTCTATTTGCCCAGTACACTCACTGGGCAGGTACTCGGGTCGGGCAACTCAGTTCCTGACTTATTTATTATAAGGGGGTAGGAAAAGAGCTTTGTGCATAGCGGACATTTGATTTATGCCATTTCACCAACGGCGCCTGGGTGGGTTCCACAAGGGGCACCAGTGGGGAAGAGAACTTTGCTGAGGAGCCCTAATGTCTGTAACAATAACTGGGCTTGAAGCGCATCTTAAAGGGGGGACATTAAAATTGGGTTGTTCTCGGATTTCCCGCCAGAGGGCGCGCCAGCCCCCACACTAAAGTCCGAGGCTGATCCGGGAGAGGTGGGACCGGCCCAGCCAGACTGTCCTCGGCGCTGTCCCCAGGGGCTGGGATCGGCCACATCCGCTTGTAGCTGCACGAGGCCTTGGGGGAGGGGAGTCTGTAGCTCTCCAGCTCTTCTCCGGGAGCAGAGGCAAGGAAGCCACCAGGCACACTGCCCAGCGTTCGCTGAATGAATGGGGAGAAGGGAAAAAACGCCCCTGAGACTTGGGGAGCCCCTAACTCCAGAAGCACCTCAGGCAGTGCCAAAAGCACCGGACTGCGGATGTTCCGTGTTTCCTTAGAGGCTGTATTTGTCTATTTGGCATCCATTAATCACAGGGCCAAATTAACGGCCAAAGTGGTTTACGCCTCCCCTGCAGTCCAGATTTCCCAGGTGTTTGGAAACCCTAATTACAAACCCTGGAACCAACCTAAATAGGGACCCAAAGTCATCTCCTCTCTCACACGCCACCCCAGTATTTCCCCTGCCCTAAATCACCCTGGGCCAGGTACGGGGCATTCCAACTAGCCAGTCCTTAGCTGTTTCCCTGCCCTGCCTTGCCCTTCCTGTGGAAACCCCATAAAGGCTGTGACCTGTGCCACTCCAGTCACTGACCAAAGCCAGTGCTGCCCCTGGGCCCTGCCCGCCGCGGCATGCCCTCTTCTCTGGGGAAATGTGAGCAATGCATGCTCCTTCCCGCGGCCTTGGCAGCTCTGGGGTCGCTCAGCCACCTCCATACATTCCAATTCCGTGGGTATGTTAAAAAAATTTTTTTGTTGACTCATAATAATTGTACATATGTACTGAGTATATGTGACATGTTGATACACGCATACAATGTGTAATGATCAAATCAGGGTAATTAGCATATCCATCACCTGGAATGTTTTTCACTTCTTTGTGTTGGGAACATTTCAAAACTTCTAGCTATTTTGAAATATACAATAAATTGTTGTTTACCATAGTCACCTACTGTGCCATCGAACACTAGAACTTATTCCTTCTGTCTAACTGTATGTACCCATTAACCAAGCTCTCTTCATCCCCTGCCCCCCCAAAATAGAACTACCACTGATCCGGCGATCCCACCGCTGGGTGTTTGTCCAAAGGAAAGGACGTCAGGGTATCAAAGGGAAACCTGCACCCCGTGTTTACTGCAGGGCACTCACAATAGCCAAGGTGTGTGGAATCAATCTAAGTGTCCTTGGACGGGCAAATGGATAAAGAAATGTGATATGCACACACAATGAAATACTCGGCTGTAGAAAAGAATGAAACCGGCCAGGCGCGGTGGCTCACGCCTGTAATCCTAGCACTCTGGGAGGCCGAGGCGGGTGGATTGCTCAAGGTCAGGAGTTCGAGACCAGACTGAGCAAGAGTGAGACCCTGTCTCTACTAAAAATAGAAAGAAATTAATTGGACAACTGAAAATATATAGAAAAAATTAGCCGGGCATGGTGGCGCATGCCTGTAGTCCCAGCTACGGGAGGCTGAGGCAGGAGGATCGCTTGAGCCCAGGAGTCTGAGGTTGCTGTGAGCTAGGATGATGCCATGGCACTCTAGCCCGGGAAAAAAAAAAAAAAAAAAAAAAAATGAAACCACGTCATTTGCAGAATCAGGTCATTATGTTAAGTGAAATGAGCCAGGCACGGAAAGACAAATATGGCACGTTCGCACTCACATGTGAGGGCTAAAACAGTGGATCTCACAGGCACGTTTTAACGCAAGGAGTCAGGGACCTGTTTCCAGTTTCTGCTTTGCCACTGACTGGCCGTGGGGCCTTGATACCTGTGCCTCCCCTTCCTGGGCCTGTTTCTTCACGAAACAGTGACATTGGACCTTCTCTGACCTGTTTGAGGATGTACCCGGTATAGTTGCCCTTAGGGGACCACAGTCTTAGAAAACTTGAAGTTTCCTCATAATGGAACCACCATGACCTGGGTATTCCCCACGCCCTTCTCCAAAACCAACACGCCAACCACAGAAAAGAAATACCCAGGCGAGCAAAGGGACCAGGGCCTCGTTAACAAGTGGGCCTTCAAGGAACTTGCTCAGTACTTGCACATATATGTTCATAGCAGGATGTTCACAAGAGCCAAAGACGGACGCAGCCCAATGTCCATCAACAGAGAACGGATACACAGAAGTGCTATACTTCTGCCGTAAACAGAGTAAGTGCTGGTACGTGCTACGGCATGGGTTAACTCTGAAAACATTATGCTAAATGAAGCCAGCCGCAAAAAGTCACATACTGCATGATTTCATTTATATAAAATGTCAGAAGAGGTAAATCGGTAAATCCAAGAGTCAGAACACAGGCTGGTGGTTACCAGAGGTGGGGGGACAGGGAGAGGGGGAGTGTCTGCCTACTGGGTACGGGGTTTCCTTTTGGGGTGATGAAAATGTTTTGGAACTAGGTAGAGGTG